AGAGCTTGCTTTTGTTCATTCTTAGATTTTCAGGAAAAAAATTATGTGGGAACAGATCCAAATTACAGTTAAAGGGAAGGTAAGGTAAGAATACGATTTAGAGATTGAGCTAATTATTATTCATACAAGAGTTGATAGTTTCTAGGATAAAGAGACACATTAGGTAGCACAATGGATAAGAGCAACAAAAAATATAGGTCATATACTACAATAGGAAGCAGAAGACAAATAAGATGATAGATCAACAAGCCCAAATAGGGATCACAAACAATGCAGTCAAGAGGGCAAGGTAGCTTTTGTGAGGCAATCTGCCAACTGATAATTTGAAGGGACATAAAAAAACAAAAACTCCCTGTTGAGTATTTGATCGCAAACCAAATGGAACTCCACCTCAATATGCTTGGTACAAGCATAGAAAATCTTATTGGTTGCTAAAGCTCTATGATGGGATTGTTACCATGGAGTACTTTAGTCATACTTAGTGGGTTTTTTAGAGTAAAGATAGTTGCAAGGAAAGAGATAATTCTCTCAAAAGACTATATTTCCTTTCAACAAATCAATCTATATTCTCTTAAGTTCGAAATATAAGCTATAAACTACTGCACTGACTTCCTGATGACGCCTAGAACTAGAATCTTCATAATCAGAAGCCAAATTTCGTCCTGACGGTGTCTATTCCGTCGCAACATCAAAGGATCCAAAATCGCCACGTTTATTTTTCCACATATTAAGCAGAATACGCTATTCATTTCTATTTTCAACTAAGAAACAAAAACCAAGTATCCGATGTCATCTTCAAAAAGAAGCACTGAACGATGGTTCCTTGATTATTAAACCCTGAAAATCGAGACTAAGCAGCCATGATTCAAAATTCAACAATACAAATCACACCTTAAAACCCAACATCTTAACTGAAAGATCTAACAATTACGACACGTAAAGAGTATAGCAACAAACAAGGAATGAGATCTGCTGAAAAAAATAATTATAATAAAAAAGAATCAATACATAAGTGAAATCACAACACCAAAAAATGAGGAAAAAAAGGAGAAGTGGACTAGCAGAACCTTACCTTTGGATGTCCGATTGGAAATGTAAGATCAAAAAGGAATGGAAAATCGACGGTGAGTGAGGAATTGAGTGAAATTGCTCGCCGCTTCTTCAACGCTAGATTCTTCTGTGCCGCCGCGAGCTCTGAGGAGTTCGTGAATGAGAACGCATGGAAGTAATATCAGAAGGGGGACGCTTTACGCAGCAGGGGCCGTTTCGAGAATTCCTCCTTTTTTTTCTTCTTCCATTTTTTTTATTCAAGGAATTTTTTTTTTTCCGTTTGTTTTTGTAGATTTCACTTCAATAATTATAATAATAATAAGAGAAAACTGCGTAAATACCACATGGGGTTTATTATTAGTATTATTTGCTCTATTAAATAAATGTCTCGATGGGTACTAATTTTATATTTTTACAGGTTTAGTTTATTCATTGACTATTTTGTCCAAATATTTTAGATTTTAAAAATACTTTTGAAGTCTTGGTCGATTCTTTGGAAAATATTGTTTTCGGAAATTAATTGTTTAAAAAATTGAAGATTTTTCTTGTTTTACCCTTGTTTAAGGATAAAAATATAAATTTCTTACAAATAGAAACATTTAAGTTTACAACTATTATGAACTGTTATTTTGTTTTATTTTATTTGAGACAATATTAGTTTCTCAATTTCAATAAAGCTAGCAAAGAGCTCATGTCAAAGACTTACTATTAAAAATTGATTAAAAAAAAAACAAAACAAAAAACTCACTTACATCATATCGATTATTGGGCTGGGCCTAATTGGACCAGTAATTGGGCCTGACCCATCTAATGGTCCACTGAATTTTACTGTCGGGCTATTTCTACAAATCTGGGTGGCCGATGGTTGGGTCTAACTGGCAACTTTTCAAGGCCCAATTAAATTAAAAGGTGCGGTAGATAGAGTGCCTATTTCCTAAGTAGAAAGTCGTAGATTTGGCCCCTAGTTGGCTCGTTTCTTTAATAGTCCTCAAAAGAAATCTCACTTTATTTTATTTTATTGTTGGAAGGCAAAAAAACTCATTACACATTTTATCCATATGAATGGGGAATAAAATTTTCAAATAACTATCGATTTTCATATCTGTAAAAACATAAATGAGACAAAATTCAAAATTGGAAATAACACGTAGGTAATAATCAAATATTTTAAAAAGAAATAAAACTTGATTTTTTAATGAATTTAGGAATAATGTGTTGGTTTTCAATTTCCAGAAAAAGAAAAGAAAAAAAAAGTAACCACGGCTCACCATTGTTGTATACCTATAATCTATGTATCCAACATTACCAAAATAAATTGTTCTAAAAAAAATACCAAATAATTTTTTCTTTTTTGACAGAAACCGAATAAATTATTAAAGTATCATTATGGCATGCCTATTCAACACTTACAAATAAAATTAATAAATATATTTATAATGTACATTTCAATATATTATTATAATTTTTTTTTAAATGAACTTCAATAAGGCAAAATTAAACCAGTCATGGGCTATAACAGAAACCAAATCAGATTTTACCTTCTGCAAATCCAATAACGGTTTCATAGTATTTAAATTTTTGGATAAACTTTTTTTTGGGGGAATAAAAAATAATATTGTTAAAATTAAAAAATTTTCAAAAATTTAAAATTTGAAATAGGCGAATAAACTATTTATTGATTTTGAAAATTATCCTATAGATTAAACTAACCAGCCAACTTAAGTATAATCCAAATGATTAGTAGATTAGTCATCTCTCTACATTACAAATCATATGTTTACCCTCGTAATATTAAAAAAAATATATTTACAATAGATGAATTTATCATATAGATAAAATTATTTGTTACTCTTATATTTAATAGAACTAGTAAATTCAAACCTTAAAATTTTAATTTGTTAAAACTAAATTATGAATTCAAATAAATGATGAAATCAATACTTTTTTTTTTTCTAATCTTTAAATCATTTTATTTTTGCCTCAAAAATAAAAAGACCAATACATTTTATGTCAAACTGAGCATAAACTCAGTGGTAATTGTCATATATCCAACTATCTCCCACTCCCACATATTGTATTAAAAAAATCAATACATTCTATGAAAAAAAAGATTGTCCAAAATGTAAACCAATAGATCACATAAAATTCAGCTAACAAAATAAGTAAAATTAAACAATCCATAAAAACGATTAACTATTGGAATCAAAATACTCAAATCCAACCCCAAACATACATTCATAGATAAAAAGAGTCGACACATATAAAAAGTAGCCTCATTTTTCTACGAACAAAAAAAGCAACTCAACTAAGAGAAGATACAGATATTAATTTGACTATTTATTCAACTTTGTTTGAAATTTCATTCATTTTTATTACTAC